TGAGAGAGTGGCTTGAGAGGGGCTTGAGAGGGGCTTGCCTGAGTGTGTGTGAAGATGCGCAGAGCGAGGAGAGTGAGGAAGCGGAAGTAGGCCGGCATGGGGATGGGGGACGAGGGGGACGAGGCTGCTGCCTGGAGGGGTCGGGACGGGTGGAAACACGAGAATGGGGACGGATGATTCAATCAACTTAAAAATCACCAGCAGCGTGTAATGAGTCGAGTTTTGAGTCGACTCAAAACTCAACTTAAAAATCACCAGCAGCGTGAGGACGTGGGAGTAGATGGCATGGGGATGGGGGAGGAGGGAGACGACACTGCTGCCTGAAGCTCTGGAGGGGCGGAAAAGGGGAAATGAGAGAGGGATGGGGGAAAGGAGTGATGGGGAAATGGGATACATGGGGTGACATGAGGGATGGGGGAATGGGATGTACGGGGGGACAAGAGGGATGTGGGATGCTATCATGCTGCTCGACATCCCACGGGGACGGGGGAATGGGATGCTATTGTGCACTTAATAGGTTCATAATCTGTACAAATCTGTGTAATCAATAGGTACATTTCAGTGTTTCACCTTGCAGCGGTCGTAGCACCACCAGAAGTGCTGCAGAAAGGTATCCACTGGCACCATCTCCCTGTGGGATGAACAACGAGGGGATTGGCAAGGGTCGGGCAGGGAAAGCAGAGAAGCTTGGGCTGACTGACGAGTTTTGAGTCGACTCAAAGCTTGGGCTGACTGACCCCACGCAGAAAAGCAGAAAGTGCTGCAGGAAGGTATCAACTGGGTGACTTTCGAGTCGACTCAGAAGTCAACTTGCTGCAGGAAGGTATCAAATGGCTCCATCTCCCTGGGGATAAAATACAGGTATATGATTAGAAACGGAGGTAGGCAACGATGGTGCTACCATGAAGACAAAGCACGGCACAGCACAGAGAGCATATCCCTTGAGCACTCGCCCGGCCAGCATGCATCGCTCCCCCTTCACCCATTCACCCGTTGATAAAGATTGGTTTCGAGACGTCTCAAAACAAATCATCATACACAAAGCACGGCACAGCACAGAGAGCATATCCCTTGAGCACTCGGCCAGCATGCATAGCTCAACGGGTGAGTGATGTGATGGGGTCCAGCATATCCCTTCAGCACTCGCCCAGCATGCATCGCTCCCCCTTCACCACTCACCCGTTGAGACGGCTCAAAGGTTCGCCGCTCCCCCATCACATCACTCACCCGTTGAGGCGGAACCACCCCCTTTCAGCAGTCCGCTTCCCCCTTCTCCGCTCACCCGTTGAGGCGAAAGCGCTCTCTGACGTCCATGAGGTGGGGCAAGAAGTGCGCTCCCATTGAGCTTCACCGTTCACCTCTCACCACTTCCCCCTTCTCCGCTCACCCGTTGAGGCGGAACCGCTCTCTGACGTCCATGAGGTGGGGCGAGGTGAAGAGCCCCGTGGTGTGGCCGCTGGCCCTCAGCATGCTCTCCGCCATGGCGCACGTGGAGCCCTGTGGGGGGTGGGAAAAAGAAAAGGAACGAGGGGGAGAGAACGACGGGTAAGGAGGAGTAGCGCGTTTGCCATGGCCCAGGTGCTACCTGCACACCTGACAAAGGGATGCACACGACAGAAATGTAGTGCAATGGTCCAGGTGCAATCTGTGCCATGCCAGCGGTGTCGGTTACTTGCCTTGCGTTTGGTGCCTGCCACGTGGATGATGCTGAGCTGGTCAATTGGCCCCTCTAGGTCAAGCACCTGACAACAAAGAACAGAAAATTAGTTAACCGGGATGGAAATGAAAATTGCTGACTTTGTCATGCCAGATTTTCACTCATCCAAGCAGAAGTACACCAGAGATCTGACACTAAGACGGTGCCTGTCGTGGCCTTCCTCAGAGCAACCTTAGCTTCAGGGAGTCAGCAGACCAACCTTAACGTAAGAACGCATAAGCGCGAAATCATCCGCCCAGTTTCGGCCATCGGCGCGCTTCTGCGACCAATGGCCCGGATATGCATGAGCAGCTGCTGAGCACTGTAGATGCCAGTTGGAGTGCTTCTCGGCTGTAACTTTTCTCATACGGTAACACAAAAGGTGTGTTGCAGAGATACCGGTAGGCCTGCTAACTGGCTTACTACCACCGTATGTGTGGCCTGACCCCTTGGTGGGTGATTTGTGTTCTGCCTTTGCCAAGACTTGTTGGTTCAGCCGAAGGTGGACAGTGCCGATAAAGCAGCCTCGTATCCACGTGGATCGATCTCATTGGCTCGCGATTCGGACTCCATTAGCCTGTCGCTTGATTGACTTCCAGGGATCATCGAGTGAAGTCGGCTAAGTGGTGTATTAAGAAATATTGGTTGCCAGCTTGAATTGAAACTTAAGTACTTTAACGACCTTTGGCGGGAGATTGTGGTAAGCGCAGCTGTATGTGCCACTCGCGACACGAGCAGAGCTGGTGAGACCGATAGGTGGAGATTGCGAGAGAGTGGAGGGAAGGAACGCGAGGAGACTTGCGAAGATGGGTCAGCGAGGACAGAGGCGAAACTGCATAATGATACGCGTGGTTGAACGACGAGAGGAGGGAAGGAACGCCCTGAGAAGCGAATGATGATCATCAGCCGCTGGGACGGAAAAGAATAGAAGCTAGGCAAAAATCCGTGCCGGGTATTTGTGCGGAATCCCAAGAATTGGCTTGCTATAAGCACATGGCGGTACAGTGCTGACATTGAGAATTGCCCAGAATTGTGGAGTGGAAGGTACGTTAGTTGGGCTGGCGAAAGTAGTCGAGATACGGCGGTGTATGTTTTCTTCTCGCAACAATTCGTGCATGTGCGACTGCATTCAACCTTTTTGCTTTTGCTTGCACGAAATCTTCGCGAGTCCCTTGTTGCGTTTAGGTAGGCCGACGACGAGTTTTTGGGTTCGTAGAAGAGTAACTGTCCCCTTCACAAGTTTTCGCTTCCACTTTCCCTTTCGCACCCCCGCTCTCGTGTCGCCGATACTTTCGTGAACCTTGTGGGACGATCAGTTTCTTCCACGATATCATCGGTTGGTAGGTAGGGGCAGCCTTCACGTGATTTCTGGTATGAGCTTTTAGGAAGCACTAGACTTGATCGAGGCGCGTTTCTTGCGAACCCTGAACCATGCTCCACCATATACATTACAGTCGCTGAAATGGGTAATTGCGGGTACGTCACTAGCGAGTACGTGGCTAAGCGTTCGCGGTCCCCAATGCGTGTGTGGTTCTTGCTTCTTTTGCTCGTCGCAGCTCTCCTGGTTTCAGTTTTAGGGTTACCTGACCGAGTATCAGACATAACGACGAATAATATCGCTCAAGAGAATGTCAATAACGAGGACAGACCTCGAGTACCGTCGCGAAGTTTCTCCCGTCGTCTTCCTACCAACTGGCTAAATGCTGACCGATCCCCAGCCCGACGGGAGGAAGTGATAATGGGGAAGACAGTGTGGAGGATATGGGAGGGAATGATAATGGGGATGACAATGAGGAGGATAAGGGAGGGAATGGTGATGCGCAGGCCAGTGGGGAGGAAGGATCAAGCAGCGTAGATGGGCGAGACAATGAGGATTCCGAAGGGAGTGATAATGGGGAAGGCAATAAGGGGGATAAGGCAGCGGAAAAAGCAAGGAGGAAGGAGGAGAAGAAGAAGAAAAGAGCAGAAGAGAAGGCAAGGAGGAAAAGGGAGAAGGAGGAACGAAAAGCAGAGAAGGCGAAGCGAAAGGAGGAGAAGAAGAGAAGGAAAGCTGAGAAGGGAGCAGAGCAGCAGGGGGGAGAGGAGGAGCAGGGGGGTGGGGAAACGGAGCAGGAGGACAAGCATGAGTCTGCTCCTGTTGCTGAGGTTGATAGCAGTGAGGGTGACAATGGCGAAAGGGAGGCTGGAGATGAAGAGCAAGATGATCAGCAGGAGTCTGCTTCTGTTGCTGCAGGCAGCGGCAGTGACCAAAGCAGTGGCAGTGACCAAAGCAGTGGCGAAGGGGCTGTGGGGGAAAATTCTGAAGCGCATGATGTTTGGCAGAATTCCGCCCCTGTTGCTGCAGGTAGTGGCGTTGACCAAAGCAGTGGCGTTGACCAAAGCAGTGGCGTTGACCAAAGCAGTGGCGGCGACCAAAGCAGTGGCGAAGGGGCTGTGGGGGAAAATTCTGAAGCGCAAGATGCTTGGCAGAATTCTGCCCCTGTTGCTGCAGGTAGTGGCAGTGACCAAAGCAGTGGCGGTGACCAAAGCAGTGTCGAAGGGGCTATTGGGGGGGATTCGGGAGGTGGTGTGAGTGATGCTGGCGGAAGCAGCAGTGAGATTGAGGACAGTGGAGGAAAGGATGTTGAGGAGGGAGGTGGTGTGAGTGATTCTGGCGAAGGCAGCAGCGGGGGTGAGAATAATCAGGGAAAGGGGGATGAGGAGGAGGGGGATGGTTCAGGTGGAGAGGGAGAGGGAAGTATAAACGAGGAAGATCAAGGGAAAGGAAATTCGGAGGTGGGAGGAGGAGAGGAGAGCTGGATGGTGGGGTGGGGAGGGAATAAGGATGCGGGCTGGTTGGAGGAGTCTGGAGAGACGGATGTGACGGATATTCATGTCGCTCCACAGTTCAGAAGCAGCCTCAAATATGCTGATGCTAACACACTGACTGGCGTTTCGAAACTGCTGAAGGATGAGAAGCAGGTGCCGTAAGGGTGGAACATACCAGTGAACCAATACTACGGGTTGGTTGTTGATATTTATTTTTATTTATCAATCATGTGTTGTGCGTAAGCTCTTGGAAAAGCGTGTAGCTGTAGGTTCGGTGGGCGAAAGCCTTGTTTGAGCAACAGCCAATCACTTGCAAGCACCCGGTTTGAAGCCACACCGACCACTTGAATTTTGTGGCCAAGAACGAGAGGGAGGAATGACTTGATCGGAAAAACACCAAGCCCGATATTCAAAGTAGCAAACCTGATCAAGTCATTCCTCTCACCCACACAAGCACCGCCGTGAGCGTCGTAACACGCACGCGGCACGCAGCGCAATGGCTGGCAGAACTCCGTCGGTGGCGCCAGCCGTCGTCGCGATCCTGCTCGTGGCTTCCTTCGCAGCGAATCTCGCGCCGAGAGCAGCGGCGCAGACGTGCGTCGCGTCGACGATCGCAGGATACAGCGTCGCGGTACCACTCGGCGACACGTGAGTTCAGAATGCCTTAGGTGAGGTGTTGAGTCGCTGTTGAGCAGCGGCGCAGACGTGCGTCGCGTCGACGATCGCAGGATACAACGTCGCGGTACCACTCGGCGACACGTGAGTTCAGCTGACGACACCCATTCCACCCATGTCGCCCATTTCGTTCCCGCTTCTTATGCGTCGCTCTTCGGGGCGCCGCGAAGAGCATAACGGGGTGCGTCGAATCAAATCAATGCTTCGCGCCGCTTCCATTATAGATTACTTGGTACTGGTGATAGAGACGGGCGCTTGCGGACTCTTTGCAAGAAGCGCGTACTAGGTTAGCGTTTAGAGTAGCACTTACAAGGTTACAAGGTTGCGGAACCTGCATAGGATACATAAAAAACCGCCAGACGGATTACAGATTGCAAGTTTGTTGATTAATCGAGGTTCCTGCAGGAATCTGCTGCCAACGCAGCTTGACGTATATTACTATCCACGTGGAACCACCCATCCACGTGGACACTGCCAGGAATCGCGATTGGCTCGTGCGTTCCCTGATGTTGAACCTAGCCCAGTCTCCTCCTTTTGGGAATTCTCAAAAGTGTCGCCTTCCCCTCTGTCCATTTTCCCGGGATTGTTCAGTGTCTTAGGGTTCCACGCTCATTCCCGCTTGTGCAACAATGAACATTCTCCAAATCTCTCTCTCTCTCTCTCTCTCTCTCTCTCTCTCTCTCTCTCTCTCTCTCTCTCTCTCTCTCTCTCTCTCTCTCTCTCTCTCTCCCGTCCCCCCCCCCTCCCCCCCCCTTCCTCCCCCCAAAACCACACCGCTCCCAGCCTCATTCTCCACTGGAAGACACCCAACTCAACCACCCTCAACCTCCTTCTAGAGTCCACCGCGCCTGGCTGGGCGGCAGTGGGGTGGTCAACGGACGGCAGAATGTCTGGCAGTGACGCCGTGGTGGGCAACGTGGGTGATCCGGCCACTGTTCAAGCATACACGCTCTCTTCCAAGATACTCGGCGGTCAGAACCCAACCACTTCTTTCAAGCTTGGCAACACGTCTGTGACTGCGAATGGCGACTCGACTTACATCAAGTGAGTGAGGGTCGTAACGGGGAATATCTGACACAACACAGTGCATGCGAGAATGGTAGTGATGCTAGCGATGGTGGTGGGACATCAGGACGGAATGCCAAAGCTATAAACGCCTAAGCTGTAACATTAAACATGTAGCACCACGTTGCAACATCGAGCAGGTGTACAATTTGCGCACACTTTTCTGATGTGGCTGTTACCAATCTCTCATGTTTCACTGGTTGCGCTCGGCTGCAGATTCTCCCGCACCGAGGGTACAGGGAACGTGCCTGTGCAGCTGTCTGGCGCCTCTGCAATCATCTATGCTTCCTCACCAGACGGCTCCACCTCTTTTTTCTACCATGGCCCCTTCAGGTAACAAATCCGAACCACAGTGCTGATTCCCATGTGTAGCTTCTCCTGCTGGGCTTGTTTTGAGTTGACTCGAAACCTTGACTTAAAACACGACTTTCCCTATCATGGCCCCTTCAGGTAACAAATCCGAACCTCAGTGCTGATTCCCATGTGTAGCTTCCCTTGCTGAGCCTCCCCGTTGGCTCTGCTACATCATCACCATGTAATGCGCATTTCAAGAGTGTAGCTTCTCCTGCTTTCCAATCCGAACCAGAGCGCCGATTTCAATGGGTAGCTTTTCCTGCTGGACCTCCTCTTATGCTCTGCTACATCATCACCATTTAATGCGCATTTCAGTGAAGCCTCGCTGCCTGAAACTGCTGATTCAAGCGTGTGCTTTTTGTGGTTTCAGGGGATCGGCGGTTGTCGATTTCTCCTGCAAGGTGGAAGGAGGAGAACCAGCACCAGCACCAGCAGCACCTGCCACACCACCTGTAACGCCACCCTCGGGCTCTTCACCTCCCACTGGCAGCACCAGTTCCCCACCACCCCCTTCCTCCACGCCAGTACAGCCAACACCCACTGCTTCCCCCCCACCACCGCCCAAGGCAGGGGGCCTGGCTGTTGGTCGTGCACATTGGCTGCTACCTGTGGCTCTGATTGCTGGGCTCCTTCCTTATTTAGTGGGTGTGGTATGAGGTGATTGGTGGACCCATCATTGATGTGTGACTGGGCCAAGTTGCGCAGTACTAGCGGCTACAGAATTATTCTTCTCATGGCTTGTATGGGATGCTGGAAGTTGGACCATAAACCAAGACATTGGTAAGATAAGGGCGTGTTACATTTTCGATTTTTCCGGACGGTTCGGACAACTACCACTCTGGAACGTACTGAAACCCACTTGAACAAAGTGTTTTACAAAGAGACCACTTTAAACCGTTCTGACGGTCCGTACAGCTTGAGAGAAAGACGAAAATGTAACACGCCCTAACATAGTTAATTTTTTATCTATAACTTGGCCGGACTGGGTTCAGACTCTGCGACCATTCACGACAATGTGGCGAGTAACTCTGCGAGGATCTGCAAATTCTTCGCAAGTATCATCAGTTCCTTTTGACGAAAAGTTTCGCAAGGAATCTTTCTGCGCCTTGAGGTTGACGCTTCCTCGCTTAACCGTGTTCCCGCCAAATCCATCCCCAAGGGAGGCTGGCAACGCCCGTCCATCCTCGAGATTCCTTCCTAGCACGGAACGTAAATCGAGGGGCATCTGTCTGTAATCTAGGTTTCTTATCTGAAGCTCCGCTGTTCCCAGCTATTCCCTAACGTGGTGCTCTCTCTCCCCCACACCTTCAGCCACTTCCTGTTAGTAACCAGAAACCAAGCATGTTCCATCCCGTTGGCATCCTGCGGTGATTGGGAATGTTCTCTTTAGTTAGTGATGGAGAGTGCCTTTTATCGAGCACGATCAGCAGTGTGAAAGCCATTGTGAACCCTCGTCGAGCAATCATAGAAATTAAACTATTCGAGTTACTCTCTGATGTTTCAGTTTTCTAATTGAATTGGCCATCCCTGTCACCCGTTTTCGTTCAGGCCCAGTCCGAACTCCACTCTAGCTTCAGATTTCGCTCCTGCCGTCGCTCTCGCTAACGTTCTAGTTCTCTCTCGTTCAATGCCTACAGTCTCAAATTAGGTACTCCTGCTGCATACAAGGAGTGCAAGCTCTTTCGCTCTCTTTCTCTCCGAGTTTCGCGGTCGGCGACCAGCAGCATCCATGGCGTCGCGAGATTCCGCCTCGGTGTCCGCTTACCTTCGCGAGTTTTGTCAGTACCTCGCGAGCCGCAACCTCTGGCCGCGAACCCGCGCGGAGTTAGGCACGGCCCACCAGCAATTCTGTCAGTCTCCTGGCAGAGCTGTTGTCTTACCGAATCAGCTGGTGTTTTTTCTTTTATCGAAACACTCTATGGCGATCTTCCAGCAAGGAGTGGTGACGTGGCGGGAGAGGTCAGGCGCTCCGGTCAGAGCGCGGAACGCCGCGCCTCTACCTGCGAAAGCACCTGAGAGCCAGGATCGGCGCTGCGGGATCTGTGATGTCACCTGTCCAAACCCCTGGCAGTTGCAGAAGCACCTGACGGGAAGACGACACTACGCCACACTGCAGAGAAGCAAGGCGGGAGGGAAATTTCACTGTCCGACGTGTGAGATTTTATTCGATTTCTTCCATCAGCTGGAGGCGCACTGCTCGTCGGATACGACTCACAAGGCGCGCGTTGCTGCCAGAAAGCTTCGCGATCAGCGTGACTATGTCCAGCGGGGGAAATATGGCATCGATATAAGCTACCCGTTTGCGTCACTGCAACAACCTTGCAGCAGCAGCAGCAACAGCAGCAGGAGGAGGAGGAGGAAGTGCCGAGACCCAGCTTGTAAAATTGGATCTAGGATCCACTTTAGAAGGCTTCGTTACTATTACAAATCGACACACTGAAGCCCAGCTGCTGACCTCCTGCAAGCTCGCAGGTGAAAATCCAGACATCAAATTCGGCTTCTCAGGCTACTCCATTGGGTCAGGCGAAGCAGTCCCGAGAAATGGTATCGTCGTTCGGCCAAATGAAGTGTACAGGCTGACTCTAAGAGTCAAACCCTCGTCCGTTGGGGTTCTTAAAGCCATCCTGGTGTTCAATTTCAAGAACTTCCTGATCGGACGGTATCTGAACATCCTGGTCGAGGACCAGGTGACCAAATCAATGGCTCCCACGGCGCCGTTCGAACCGCAGCAGCGGAAATCGCGGCAGGAGGAGGAGCCGCCCGCTGAAATCCTACCAGGCGTTGAGCCCGAGGGGTGGAAACGAGCCGGCGAGCAATTGGCTAAAATCCCGTGGTTTGGAATCCCCGAGTGGGTTCGGGAGACGTATGAAGGCATGCATCACGGTGAAATGCAGTTACCGGGGTTTGAGGGCCCTGTGACTCTAGACACGTACAAGAAGCGGTTTGAGCTGCTGTTACACGTGGAGGAGCTTCAAATGGAGGCGGACATTCGTTACTATGACATGAAGGGAGTCCCTGTGCTGCCTTGCGGGAGTCGCCAGGGGGGAGAGTTTTACCAGCTGACGGTGCCTGGGCTGGCTGAGAAACGCCCGTCTGTGCTGTTTGGCGATCGGGTGTATCTGACCTTCACGAATGAGGAGGGAGCACGGAGGCGGATTGAGTATCAGGTATGTTGGAGGCGCGTTGAGTAATAGTATGAGGTGTGTTGTGGGTCACTGCAAGGTGAAGGGGGGGGGAAGGGGAAGCTTGCTATTACCAGCTGACGGTGCCTGGGCTGGCTGAGAAACGCCCGCCTGTTCTGTTTGGCGATCGAGTGTATCGGACTTTTGCGAACGAGGAGGGAGCAAGGAGGCGGATTGAGTATCAGGTATGTTGGAGGCGGTTGACACACGGAATGACTTCCACTCTCCACCATCTAGCTGGCTTACTCACACTAATCGTCTCTCAATCCGCATTCTCCCACGGCTTCGTGCACAGGGTGGAGAGGGAGAGCGCTATGCTGCGCTTCCACCCCTACTCCCACCCACCATTACTTGCCTTGAGCCAGTTTTCGTTCCTTCCTCACCTCCTCCCCATACCAGGGCTTCGTGCACAGGGTGGAGAGGGAGAGCGTTATGCTGCGATTCCACCCGGACTTCCACTCCGACTGACTTCCACCTCCACCATCTAGCTGACTTACCTACACTAATCCTCTCTCAATCCGCTTTCTCCCAGGGCTTCGTGCACAGGGTGGAGAGGGAGAGCGCCATGCTGCGCTTCCACCCCGACTTCCACCCACCAACACTTGCCCTAAGCCGATCCTCTCCTCATACTTCTTCCCCTCCCCCTCCCCCAGGGCTTCGTGCACAGGGTGGAGAGGGAGAGCGCCATGCTGCGCTTCCACCCTGACTTCCAGCGTCGCTTCATCCGCGGGCAGCTCTTCAACGTGCGCTTTGAGGTGCCACGTGGACCAGTCAGGGCGTGCCACCTGGCGCTGGGGCTTGCGAACCGGCACCTGGGGCAGCACGTGTTGATGCCTTCAGAGATCCCTCAAAGGCTCTTCAGCATTGGTGGGTGGGCAATTTTTACACATGGGCGAGTTATGGTCATTGGTGGGGCAGCATGTGCTGATGCCATCAGAAATTCCTCAGAGGCTCTTCAGCATCGGTAGGAGGGAGGGGGTTTGGTGGTGGTTGGATTGGTGGGGCCATAGGAGGACATTGGCTAGTGGGTTACAGGCATTGGTTTCGACTCCAACTGCCCCTTTAGGGTTTAGGGGCACCTGCCCCTTTGACTGCCTGCTGGATGTGGAGCGGAGAGAGGCAATAGTGCATTTGCTGTTGCGCTCACAACTTAGCCCCCTTTCCCCCCTCCTTGCTTCCATGCGCCACCAGAAGTCCCTGCCATTCGCCCCTTTGATCGCCAGCTGAACGTGGAGCAGCGGGAGGCAGTGGCGCAGCTGCTGGTGCGCTCACCCCACTTATACTCCGCACTTTCCCTTCTCCCCTTCCCTCTCCCCCTGCCAGAAATCCCCGCCATCCGACCCTTTGATCGCCAGTTGAACGTGGAGCAGCGGGAGGCGGTGGCACAGCTGCTGGTGCGCTCTCGCCTGCAGCTCAGTGCCCGACCCGAGCCATACCTCCCTCCATACATTGTGTTTGGCCCGCCTGGCACGGGCAAGACAAAGACGGTTGTGGAGGCCATATTGCAGGTGCGCAGTGGTCTGTATGATCAAAGGTTAATATCACAGCTGCTGGTGTGCTCGCGCCTGCAGCTTAGCGCCTGGCCTGAGCCTGTACGTCCCTCCTTAGATCGTGTTTGGGCTGCCTAGAACCAGCAAGACCATGTGCTCCCGTTTGCTCTCTTCCAGTGATATGGGAACTGGCCCTTGTGCTCAATGAACCCCGTACGTCCCTCCAACGGGGGGTCAAGGGGATGCCCTCTGCACGTGTGCTCGTGTGTGCTTGTGTCTTGTTAATATGATGAGACTCAGCAGTGACCCTTGTACCCTACCCAATGAACCCCATACGTCCCTCCACCAGGTGGTCAAGGGGATGCCCTCTGCACGGGTGCTCGTGTGTGCACCGTCCAACAGCGCAACAGACAACATCGCACTCCGCCTCAAAGGCAACTTGCAGGTCCGTGAGGTGCTGTGACGTGGTGTGAGGTTCTGTGAGGTAATGCGAGGTGCTGTGAGGTGCTGTGAGGTGGTGTGCATTGGTCTAAGGCACGATGATGTCCTGGTCAAGCGGCCTAAGTGCTCGTGTGTGCGCCGTCCAACAGTGCCACTGACAACATCGCACTCCGCCTCAGAGGCAACCTGCAGGTGAGGTGCTGTGAGGTGCCATGAGGTTCTGAGGCACCATGATGTCCAAGCGGCCTAAGTCCTCGTGTGTGCACCATCCCAACAGCGCCACTGACAACAGCCCCCTCCACAGGCTCCACTCCGGGTGCGCGAGATGTTGCATCTCTAGTCTATGAGCCCTGGGCGGGGCTAGGTAGACACGGACCTGCTGCCATTCACTCCCTATGACGACGCCCCAACCCACCCCCATGTTGCATCCACCCCTCCGCAACCCCCTCCCCCTCCCCCTCGCCCCTCCTCTCCCCCTCTTCCAGGTGCGTGAGATGCTGCGCCTGTACTCTGTGAGCCGCGGTCGGGACGAGGTGGACTCGCACCTGCTGCCATTCACTCGCTACAACCGCTCTCCAACCAACCACTCCCCTGTTTCATCCCCCCTCCCCCCCCCCCCCCTTTTTCCTCCAGGTGCGTGAAATGCTGCGCCTGTACTCTGTGAGCCGCGGTCGGGACGAGGTGGACACAAACCTGCTGCCATTCACTCGCTACGACGACGCCACGGGAACCTTCCGCATGCCTTCCCTCTCTGAGATTCACACCGCTCGGGTCGTTGCTGTCACCTGCTGCTCTGCTGCTCTGCTCTGCCGCATGGGTATGCTCCTTCTGCTCAACCTGCATAAGTACGCTCGTGATCAGTCTAGTTATGATCCACATGTACTTGTGACTTGTTGTGCACGCATACATGACGCCCCGGGAGTGTTCCCGTTGCGATCCTCTGTTTTTTAAAGAATTCTCAAAAAGCACGCACATCTTCATAGACGAGGCAGGCCAAGGCATCGAGCCAGAGGTCATGCCATCTCATGCCATGGCATTATCACCCGCACTCTCTCTTCCTCCTTCCTTTCTTTGCACCCCCACACAGGCGTTCCCCGGGGAACCTTCACGCACATCCTCATAGACGAGGCAGGCCATGCCATCGAGCTGTGAGCTGTGAGGGGGAATCCCAAGACTCTCCACCAACTCATTCTCATACTCAACACCCTGCATCACTCCCTCCCCTCACATGCGTCCCCCGGGATACCTTCACGCACATCTTTATAGACGAGGCAGGCCATGCCATCGAGCCAGAGGGCATAGCATCTCATGCCGTGGCATGGCAGTAGCACCATCCCCATAACTCTCTCTTCCTCCTTCCTTGTACCCCACCCACAGGTGTCCCTCGCGGCACCTTCACACACATCTTTATAGACGAGGCAGGCCATGCCATCGAGCCAGAGGGCATCATACCCATCGCTTGCCACGCTGCGCCACATGCCGTCATCCTATTGGCCGGCGACCACAAGCAGCTGGGCCCGGTCGTTCGCTCCCTCGCGGCCCGGAAATACAAGCTCCCCTGCTCGTACCTCGAGCGGCTGGCGAGCCTCGGCATTTACTCGGCGGAGGATCAGGAGGACGGGAGTTACATCGGTTACAACACGAGCGCAATCACGAAGCTTGTCAAGAACTATCGGTCGCACCCGAAAATTTTGGAGCTGCCCAACGAAATGTTTTATGAGGGGGAGCTGGAGGCGTGTGCGGACGAGATGGCCCGATCTTCGCTCTGCCGGTGGGACGAACTGCCCAACAAAAATGAATTCCCAATTATTTTCCACGGAGTTATGGGGAAGGATGAGAGGGAGGGCAACAGCCCATCGTTTTTCAACCCGACCGAAGCGAGTGTGGTTCTGAAATACATTACCTCTTTAATGGGTTATAGGAGCCAGAGGGTTCCTTTGTCTGACATTGGGGTGGTTACCCCGTATCGGAAGCAGATGCAGAAGCTGCAGGTGCTGCTGCGAGGGAAGGGGATGGGGGAGGTGAAGGTGGGGAGTGTGGAGGAATTTCAGGGGCAGGAGAGGCGGGTTGTGATTGTATCGACGGTGCGGTCGAGTCAACAGTTTGTGGAGTTTGATTATAAGCACAACCTGGGGTTCCTGGCGAACCCTAAGAGGTTCAATGTGGCTGTAACGAGGGCGAAGCAGCTGCTGATTATTGTGGGAAACCCCAACCTTCTGGCTCAGGTGGGTGGGTCTGATGTTTCAGGTACACTGTAAATCTTTCTTAATACGGCAGGAGAGGCAGGTTGTGATTGTATCGACTGTGAGATCGAGTCAGCAGTTTGTGGAGTTCGATTATAAGCACAACCTGGGGTTTCTGGCGAACCCTAAAAGGTTCAATGTGGCTGTAACGAGGGCCAAGCAGGTGCTCATCATTGTGGGCAACCCCAACCTTCTGGCGCAGGTGGGTGAGTCTGATGTTTCAGGTGAATCTTCAGCTTCAGGTGAATTGGCTTCTTCATGTAAATCTCTTGTATCAGGTGAGTCTGCTGCTTCAGCTAATCTTCCCAATCAGGCCACATTTTCCCATCCTTACTCTCCCAACCGCCCCACATTTTCCCGCCCTTTCTTTCCACAGGATCGCTGCTGGGGCGCGCTGCTGCAGTATTGCCGCAGAAACAAGGCCTACACAGGCTGCCCTCTCCCCGCCTCCATCCCTCCCCCCGACCTCCCATCTGAGTCTCAACCTGGGGGATCCGTTACAGGCTCCTCCTCTACTACCATTAGCACCACCTTTGGTGGCCCCACTACATCTTCTGGCAGTGGCAGTACCACCAGCATCACCAGCAGCAGCACTGCCGGCAACAACAGCAGCAGCGGCGGCGGCGGCGGCGGCGGCGGCGGCGGCGGCGGCGGCGGCGGCGGCACGAGAGGCACCGTCAGCAGCACTGGAGCGACTCAGGAGCTGCTGGATTCGCTCGCCAGGCTGTCGCTGCATGAGGATGACGAGGCTGACAGTGCGCGTGCTGGCGCTGAGTCAGCGCGGGCGCTGGGCGGGTTTTCAGCTGCAACTGCTCACGAAGACCTGGAGTGGCGGGTTGAGGCGTGAGGGCATGCGTAAGCATACGGTTGTGGGTGTGAGGGTGTGAGGGCAATTGGGCAGGTATGAGGGGGCGATGGCTTGAAGGCCTGAGATGTTATGGCCTGCAAGCAGTTATGAATAAAGGTGGGCTTATCCACCCACATACAGTATTATGGTAGCTGCTCACGAGGACCTGTAGTGGCCAAGCTTTTCCCATGCTTTTCACCGTGCTGTTCCACAAACAGTCTGATCCCCTGTCAATTCAATCATATTAGCGAATGAAGCGCATTCCACAATACAGGCCTGAATTGCCTGCTGTTAGCTGTTGGCTCGATCAAAGCAAGTCATCACAAAATAGCAGAGAGGGGAGTTTACAAAGCAAGGCAGAGTATGGCCACAACTGCCAGCGCTGCCCCTAACCAAGAGCTCCTTTGGGCTAGAGAGCCTGCTGGCTTGCCCGTGCACGAGAAGTCCACCAGTGCTGATCCCCTGCACGTGGAGCAAATAGAAAGAAAATCAGACAACCATTGAACCAAATTCCTGTACAATTGCGTTTGCTGCCTTGCCGGTGCATGAAAAGTACACCAGCGCAGTTCTCCTTTATGTGCAGCGAGAGAAATGTGCGATGTGGGAAATGGAACATGGAAAGTGAGTCGTATGGAAAGAGTCTACCTGCAAAGTCCACAGCACAACACCTTACACCACCACACATCACCACAACATCACGCACAGCACAGCACAGCACCTACTTGTTTCCCCCGTGGAAGCCGAGCTCTGTCGATCCAGGATCGGCGGAGTAGGTCCAGATGAGCGTGTTGGCACCACACAGTCACCACAGCACAGCACGACACATCACAGCACATAACCGCACCCTACCGCACAGCACAGCACCGCACAGCACAGCACAGCACATACTTGTTTCCCCCGTGGAAGCCGAGCTCTGTTGATCCAGGATCGGCGGAGTATGCCCAGATGAGCGTGTTGGCGCCTGTGGGGTCAAACCGAACTGTACCATCGTCCACCCGCCGGGAGAACCTGGAGCAGTGCAGGGGGAAGGGGTGGAGGGGGGTTGGGGAAAAGGGGAATGGACAAGGGGGGAAAGGGACGAGAGGGGTGATGGGCGTGTTGGCGCCTGTGGAGTCAAAACGCAGCGTGCCATCGTCGACACGCCGGGAGAACCTTCAGTAGTGCAGGGGAGGAAAGGGAAGTGCGGGTGGGGGGGGGGGGGGGGGGGGAGGGGAGGGGAAGGGGGGAGAGGCAAGGTGGCGCAGCAAACTTGGGTGAGAGTGTTAGTAGAGCGTTCTGACGCCTGTGGAGTCAAAACGCAGCATGCCATCGTCTACACGCCCGGAGAACATGCAGTAGTGAGGGGACAGCAAGGAGCAAGGAGCTTTTGCGACAAAACCCACGTTTGCACGTTTGTAACTGTTGTCCCGCCATCGTCCTGCTCGGGACATCGACTTTTGAGGCGCCTCAAAACTGTTGTCCCGCCATCGTCCTGCTCGGGACATCGACTCGACCCACGTCGCTGGGGTACCCCCGCCACGTTCCCCACCACCGCATTCCCCTTGCCCCCCATCCCCCCCCCCCCCTCCTCCCGCTCTTCTCCCCCCCCCCCCCCCCCCCCCCCCCCCCTCCCATTACCCTACCGGACCACCACTTGACACTCACTTGATGACAAACGAGCCAGTAGAGCCCTGCTCCAGAACCGTCCTGCCCAGGTCGTATCCAGCAGGCTTCACATCCGCGAAGTTTCGCCCCGCCAGGTACAGCGCAACGATGTTGCTGGGGTATCCCGCCACATTCCCCACCACCGCGTCGCTGCGCGACATGCGGCCGTCGCCCGACCACCCCACGGAGATCCACCCCTTCTGCGCGCCTGATAAAGCCACCGCCTGTAAGGCCATGTCTGTCACGCGGCCGACCTGGGGCTTCCAGTGGAGAATGAGACTGCGGGTGGGGGGGGGGGGAAGGGGGGGGAAGGGGAGAAAGAGGGGTGGGATGCGGTGGGAGGTGAGAGACATCGGCCCGTCGCCCGACCACCCCACGGAGATCCACCCCTTCTGAGCGCCACGGCCTGTAGCGCCATGTCTGTCACACGGCCGACCTGCGGCTTCCAGTGCAGGATGAGACTGAGGGAGGAAGGGAAGGGAGGGAAAGAGGGGTGGGATGCGGTGGGAGGTGAGAGACATGCGGCCGTCGCCCGACCACCCCACGGAGATCCACCCCTTCTGCGCGCCCGAAAGCGCGACCGCCTGTAGCGCCATGTCCGTCACCCTGCCGACCTGGGGTTTCCAGTGCAGAATGAGACTGGGGGAGGAAGGGGGGAAGGGGGGAAGGGGGGGAAGGGGGGGAGGAGGGGATGAAGGACAAAAAGGAAGGGCAGAGGGAGAGATGATGGAGGGATGAAGGGACTGACATGTGATGGGCAGCAGAACGGCGGGAAACGGTGGTGCGATTCAACTACGCGGCGCGCGTACCCGTCGCCGAGTTGCACGGCGTAAGCGTAGCCGAAGAGCGACGAGTTCGTGCACGGCAGCGACGACGCGAGCTTTCGTCGCGCGATCGCCGGCGACGCGGATCGATCATCTTCCTCGTGCGTGCGAGTGCGGAACGGAGACGCTACCCTGAGAGAGAACGCAGTGGCTCGTGGCTGGTGCTGCGACGCGAAGCTATACATCACGAGCAGCATAAGGGCTGGTACTAACGAGTAACGTCCCGCGCCAGCTCGATAAGACCAAGGCGACGCCATGAAGAGACTTTTCAGATGTCTCAACTAGGAATGTCTGCGAAGATTCTTTGTATAAATCGCACTGATGGACTTTCGAGCAGTCGTCACGTCACGTGCGAGCTTGTTCCGCCTCGTTTGGATGCGAGCCGAAACAGAATAATACCGTACGGCACTAATTTTCAGGCATAGATGTGATCTCCACTTGAGCCTAGGCTACGCCAGAAGCTGGTTTGCCAACCAGCTTGCCTGGCAAGGAAGGAAGGAGTCCGCGGTTCGTCGATGTGATGTGACAATACCGATGTCGGCGAAAACACCGACGCCCCCGATCTCATCGTCTAGCTCGTCAATCTCGTGGTTCGCTCCCATTGGCTTTCGAATCTGAAGCGCATGCGGTTCGACCGCAGTCCCAGTCTGGTTCGGGTGAAACGTGTTCAGTCTGTGGCTCTGTTCCGAAGCTGAAATGGTCAGGGGCCGAATCGGTCTTAACCAATAGCGAGGCGTTTTGTGTGTGACGAAGTCGGTCCGCGTAGGCTCAGCACGAGCTTCGCGGGGTTTTTTGTGCGGACTAGGTGGTGACCCGTAATGGAGAACGTGGCGGAGCCTCGTTTGTTATTGGGTGTGTTGGGCGGAGAAATTCGCATAATGGAGAAAGGTACACCGTAACCAGCATAGTGTTAGACGATTGTGAATGCATAGGGCGGAGGAGCGGAACTCAGGGGTTTCGCTTAGGGAAACTCACTCAAATGATATTACCACGCTTCAAATACAAGTAACACGCAACATTACCTACACCTTAGTAAACTGGGATGGTCAGCACCTTTTGACCAGTCTCGTTCGCTGCGCTTCGCGGATGGTATGTGGCGGTCCATTGTTCCAGGCCAGTTCTTCGCAAGCCAATGAAAGCCAGTGAATTGCTTCGTTAGGGAAGGTTACCACTTCATCCACAAACCTCTATATGCGCTGACTCGTCCAAGGTCATTGTCCGTTTGTTCACGTTATCCCGAAGTCCCCAAGCCTTTTCGCTCTGCCAGACCGAATTCCACCGCAGCTTGATCGAACGGATACACGCGAGTCACGCTAGCCTGGAATGACGAGCACCAACGAAAATTGTTCCCCAAGCCCAGTCAAAGCCTCCGTACAACGAGCCGCGCACATATAAAATGGACAAACCAATCCAACGATTCCATTCCATCCCATCCATCCAATTTGTTCACCAAATCCACCCCCCACATAGGAACTCGACTCCCCACTGCTTAGTTCACCGCCACATACACTCCGTGTACTTGTCTAGCGACCATCTCCGCGAATTGCATCATTCTTGCATCATTCTTGTCGAAGTGAGCGTCGGATCTCACATAAAGTTTTTTTCCGTTGGTTTGGTGCTAGTAAAAATGATGATGTCACGTCTCTTCAGTCTCAGCCTTTTCTTAATTTCAGCACTAAATGTGCTGTCAATTAGCGGCGCCGCATGGGCGGCGTCATGCCAGAGCTCCTCTCTCACTGGATTCACCAGCTCCGTCGACCTCTCGGGTAACGGGTAGGTGGAAAAATCCCCCCCCCAAAAGCAGACATTCTTCGCCAATATTCCCCCGCGGTGCATGCGTCTCTTTCGGCCCAGCAGATAATACGCCCCTGCCATCTCCTCGGTTTCGTCCAACAAGTTGTTGAATGTACTTCCGAAGCTCCGCGCTCAGTTCCACCGCTTGGTCAACTTTGTCATTTTTTTTTCTTTATTTATTATTTTTTATCATCATCAAACTGTCCCGTAACCCCTGCGCGGCGCGCAGTCTCGTGCTCCACTGGGCCGCGCTGGACGGCGGCGCGCAGACAGGCGCGCTGCAGATGGCGCTCGAAGCCAAGGCGGGCAGCGGCGCGGAGACCGGCTGGATCTCCGCCGGGTGGTCCGCGGATGGGCGCATGTACCCCGCGGACTGCGTCATCGGGAACCTGCCTGGCGGAAGCATGGGCGCGTATTACATAAGCGGGTACGGCGATGCTGACGTGGCGCCGACCAGCAGCTTCGCCCTCGGTACTGCCGAAATGCTGACGTCTAACGGCGGAACCATCATGAAGTGAGTAATTTGCTCTCAACTGTTAAAATTGTTTTTTTTTTTTTTTTTTTTTTTTTCAGGAGATTACATTTTGTACAAACTCATAATCTTTACAAAGAAAAGCATCGCACAAGAGGAGAGGAACGGGAAAGAAAGACACCAGAAACAACTCAAACGCAACACCCATAAAAAGCCCCATAAAAATACTCTATAAAGAAAAAACCCAACCAGGATCCCCTACCAGACGTCCCATCTCGTCCCATTCCCCCCCCCCCCCCCTCCCCCCCCCCCCCCCCCCCCCCCCCCCCCCCTCCCCCCCAAGTCACATCTGCACATCCACCATGTAGGGGGCCTCCACCCAAAGAGGCCCGCCCTCCACCTCGACATCGTCCCTCTCCCGATCCACCAAGTCCACATTCAACCCCCCCATGGAAGACGCCGCCCGAAGCAGGATGACACGAGCTTGCGCCCGTTGTAACGCCACTCCGATGAGCGCCTTCAGAGACCCCAAAAGGTAAGCCGAGAACGAAGTGTCATCCTCCCGACAAGCCCCCCGTGACACAGCTAGCCCCACGTGCGCGTCCCCCTGCTGTCGAAGCCACCGCCGGAAGCGACCGCCGAGACACCCCCACGTCTCCACTATCAAAGGGGTGAACTGCACGCCTCGGTTCCGTGCAAGAAGAGGCGCGTAATCCCCCGTTTTGCGACGCTCCCACTCCTTTGCCGCCACGCCTATAGACCGCCCGCACTGCCCTAGCAGAGATGGAGACAGTGATAGCGGGTCCGCGACACTAATCTCTAAAGCATGAGCCTCCCCAGCCATTGGTCGTCGCACCGCTACGTCAACCCGCTTCCCCGGCAGCACCGCACTATCCTCCATCGTCACCACCCCCCCTGACGCCTTAGCGATCTTTGCCACCGCAAACTTCACCTCATCATGCACCCGAGATGGACCGTGTTGGTGCTTGCATCTCAGCGCATGATGCGGGTCTGCTGGGTCATCATACGCTGCGCCACAAACACACTTCCCCGCCACTTGCAGCTGCTGGATTGGGAGACCAAGCCGTATAGCAGCAGCAATGCCCCACTCCGCTGCAGTGAATGTGAGATCTGAATGAGCCGGAACTGCCGAAACCCATGCACCAGCCCCCGGGCCCTGAAGGGATGTGAAACGGGCTAGGGTGGCATCGTCACGAGCCAAGCGGCGGAGTGCCTGGAGCTCCTCAACAGCCAACTGCCGCTGCCGCGCCTGGAAAAGCCGAAGAGGAGGGGCCGCCACACACAGGGGTAAGTCCGGCAGCTCCTGGCGTATAGTCGCGGGCAACTGCTCAATGGCCTTGGCAAACCACGGGTCAAGAAGCTCCGCCCCCGCCGAAGTGGTGAGGTACTCTGCGAACATCGCCTCCTCGCCCGCCACCCCCAAATGTGCAATATCCCGTGCGGCCTGCGCCCACCCACAAACATAGGAGAGCGGACTCAAAGAGGCCGCCGCCCGGATCCCAAACCCTCCGAGGCGCACAGGGAGATGCAGCTGCATGCGTGCGCGCCTAGACCTGCCGGGATCCTGCTCCCAAGTGCCAGGGGGGAAAAGCTGCTCAAAGCAATCCTCCAGACAGCTGTCCCACTCTCTAAAGGCCTCCACCACCTCCGGCCGCGGCGGCATAGTCCGGGCCAGGTACATCGGCCGTGCTGAAACTGCAATAGCGAGGAGATGCGAGGCCATCTGGGGGTGGTCGAGCAGGGGGAGCCACGGCAATGGCGCCTGCAACTCGCGAAGCCGCTTCCGTAATCGGGCCCCCTCCCAATCCTCCTCCCCAATAGGCACGCCCACCACAATAAGACCCTCCTCCTCCCGCTGCATCCCCAAAGGCAATGCCCGCTCCATATCCCCACCTCCACGCTCCCAAAACCTGCACTTGTGCGCCTGCACTTCCAGCCCCACCCACTCCAACCTCTCTCGCAGCACCCCAAAAGCCTCCAGAATCCTAGCCGCTGGTCCCAGGATGTAGGTATCGTCTGCATAGCTCAAGAAAAGTAGGTCCCTGAACTCTCTAGTCACCGTCCCCAGCACCTGCTGCTGCGTGAAAGCGAAAAGAAAAGGGCCGAGCGGGTCCCCCTGTCGCGATCCTCGTGCCGACTCAAGACTCTGTACGAAAGGGCCCGCTCGGAGGTACAGGTCGCTAGGTGTCCCATAGAAGACACGCAAGAATGGGATCATTCCTGAGAAAGGCGACTCCTTCAGCCCCTCGAACATCGCGTGGCGATGAAACGAATTGAAGGCGTTCGCGACATCTATCTGCAGCGCACACCAGTCGGGGTGAGTGGCCAGCGCTGACCGGAAAGAATGAGTAAGAATCTCCACCCCGGCCCTGGTGCCCACTCCCAGCTGGTTACACGGCAGAAAATAAGAAGCCATCACAGGGCGAAGCGAGATGCAGAGAGCTCGAGCGAGGATACGCGGAAGCACCTCCCCGATCGCCACCGGCCGGACGTCACCGTTGGGTTTGGAAAGCCCGACTAGGTTGGATGCGGCGAGCCAGGGCCGAGCTCGCTCGGGGACCTGTCCCGCCACCCATTGGTTGAACACTTCCAGCAGGTGGGAGAGGCAGGAAGGTTCCGTGAGGAAAGTGTCGCGCAGATGCTCTGTGACCCATCCCGATGGCCCTGCAGCTGAGGCGCGAGCAGCTGTGTGGATAGCTCTAGCCAGAATGTCGGTCGTGAGTGGAGGCCGCTGAGGAGCGTCGACAGTAAACTCACGAACCCACGGTGGTACCTCGCCACTGCTAGCTGGGTGCTTCCCTCGCAGCGACTGCACCATAGCCTCAGACGGTCGAGCCAACTCTCCTGCTGTGAGGCAAGACAAACCACGGCTCCACTCTCCCACTTTACACCGAGATCGGCACCGTGACAGGCGGATGGCCTCCGGGTCCTGGTCAGAGCACGTGTAGGCAAGTGGGCGAACTGCTGGCC